TCCTGGGTAGCTGGGATTATAGTCATGCACCCCTGCATCCAATCAATCTTCAAGTTTTTAGTATTGAGAATTTCAAAGCTGCCTTACCATCACTACTTATGCCCTTTAACCAATTAAGGCAGGGAGGAGTCTGGTATGTTTATCTTGGGGAAATTTCTGAGAATTCTCTAGAAACTTTGGAGATTATCTAATACAACATACCTCTTAAATTAAAGTTATTATTTACTAAAGAACTCAGAAAGCAAGAAATTAAAGGACCTTGATCTAAATGAAGCCAAAAACAATATTTAGTATTTTATTAGGGGTTTCATCCCCCATCCTCACTTCTTTTTTGAGATTTCTCTAATAGAGAAAATTGGAATAAATAGCAAATTAAGTTTTTGAGTAGTTTAGTGATGTTCTTTTATCAGTAGTAGAAGCAAATTAAAGTGGTTGCCTGGCCATTCTGGAACTACCCAGTCCCAGTATATGAGAGTGAGCCCCAAGATGCCATGAGATAGATGATCCAGGATTTCACAGAGAACAGTCAGTTGAGGGACTTGAAGAAGGCTGATCTTAGGCTGTAACAGGACCAGTTGGATCTGCATAGTTTGGGTCAGAAATAGGGGTGTATATATTGGTTCAAACAGAAGTGACTTCATCCAAACTGGAAATTACCTGGCCTATTCTAAGCTCTTGTCAAAGAGTCAGGTATATTCATGGTGCTAGGGACCAGTTGTAAATTTCTACATACCAGACTCTAATGGTCTTATGTATAATTTGATGGAAAACTGCAGGAAAAACTGATTAAGTTACTCTGGGGCAGTCATGGGGTTATGAGTTAGGGTGGCTGCAGTCATGTCAAGCTGAATTCATACAGTCAGTAGCATGTCTGTGCTAGTCTTCATCATTTGAGAAATGGGCCTTGCCGCAGTCTGGCTGGGCACAAAATCACGAGCCACTTAAGCAGGAACAAAGTTTATTTTTTGAAACTGCCGCCAATGTCCGGTACCGCCCGGGAAGATTTTTTCCACCCACGCGGCCTCCTCCCGGACCCGCCGAGAGAGCTCCTCCCCCGGAACTCCCTCCTACTGTACTTCCCCAACCAATGGGAACTCTCCAGGAGTCCCGTAGCCGGCCTAGGTGAACAGCAGGAGTCCAATATCCATATGAATGCAAATCTTAACATAATCATATCATCTCAATGGCTAGCTGGCGTCACCTTTCGACCAAAAATGCCATGCATCATATACTTGGCTCTTAGCAGGGCCTTTCAAATATGGAAGCTGCCTATTCCTTCCAAAAATGGAAGCTGCCTATTCCAGTAACCTTTTTTCCTGGCTTACCTAGTGATTAATCCAAGACATAAGCTCATAACTTAGACTGGGCTAATCAGAATCCATTACTAGGACTTTAAAATTGAAATAAGAATACTTTTCATTTCATTGAAATAAGAATACATTTCATTCTTTACTACAAATTTGAAAATTACCAACATAGAAGCTGACAATAGAGAAGAAGATACTTGATTGTGTCTTAAGACCCTTTTTCTACTTTTCTCCAAGGTCAGCTCTGCTTGTTAGCCTAACAATGATTATTTTGTCTCTCTCTACCAGCCCTCAATTTTTATTTTATTTATTTTATTTTTTTTTAATTGTTTTTAGTGACGCAGCCACATCAATGTTTTTTTTTTTGCATTATAATTCTTAATACACATATATACCACAATTTTTGTATCTCTGTATATAAAGTATGTTGACACCCCAATTTTTTCTTTTTATATCTTAGCACAATTGGGCTGGGATTGTGACTCAGAGGTAGAGCGCTCGCCTAGCATGTGGAAGGCCCTGGGTTTGATCCTCAGCACCACATAAAAATAAATAAATAAAGTAACGGTATTACGTCCAGCTACAACTAAAAAATAAATATTTTTTTAAAAAGTCTTAGCACAGTTATAATTGGACTGATATTTGAAATTTAGGCTTTCCTATTTATACACTTAAGTAAGCAAGCAATAATCATGTGTAATTCTTACATTTAGGCAAATTTTAAAGAAATACTTATTCAGTGAAAAATAAGTTACCCTCTTGGAAGTGGTCATTATATCCTTTTTTCTTCCTTTTTTTTTTTTTTTTTCTTTTTGCAGAACTGAGGACTGAACCCTGGGTAACCATTTTCTTATGTTTCCTTCTAGGTATAGTTTGTTGTTGTTGTTCTTTATGGGATATATTCATAATTATTTATGTCTCCAGATACTGGGAAATGGATAGAATTATCTAAAAATTTGGAGCTTAGTAATAGGTAGAAACTAGGAAAGATCTGAGGTATGTGGTAGAAAGTCTAGGTTGCCTTGAAAAGACTTGATAGAAATATGGATATTTTATATTACAGAGGTGAGGATTCAGGAAGAAAAGAGGAAAGCTGTAGAGAAAGTGTCTCTCATCTTGGATAAGTCATGACCAGATGGTTGATAGAAATGTGAACATTAAAGGTGTTTCTTGTGAAGTCTCAGATGGAAATGAAGAATATGCTGGACACTGAAGGAAAGATGATTCTTGTTATAAAGTGACAACTTGGCTGAATTGTATTCTAGTGTTTTGTGGAAGGTAGAATTTGTAAGAGGTGAACTGGGATGCATTCATGAGAATATTATTAAGCAAAATATTGAAGGCACAGTCTGGTTTTTCCTTGCTGCTTATAGTAAAGTTTAAGAGGAAAGATAAACTGGAAAAGGTTTTATTTATTTGTTTCCCTACTGTACTGAGGATTGAACCCAAGGGTATTCCATCATGGAGCTTTGTCTCTAGCCCTTTTTTATTTTGAGACAAGGTGTCAGTAAATTGCCTCAGATGACCTTGAATTTATGATCTTCTCCTTTAAGCCTCTGAAGTTGGTGGGATTACAGGCATGCACCACCACACCCAGCAAAAAAGGAATTGGTGGGCTTGGAGTGTGGCTCAGTGGTGGAGCGCTTGCCTCGCATGTGTGAGGCACTGGGTTCAATCCTCAGCACCTCATAAAAATAAATAAAGGTATTGTGTCCATTTACAACTAAAAATTGTTTTTTAAAAAAGGATTTGGTAAGGAAAAGGAAATGACATCTTGAAGATTTGGAAAATTCTTAGCTTATTCCTACTGTGAAAAATATGAAAGTGGGAGCTAGAGGTATTGTTCATGGTAGAGCACTTGTCAGGTATGTATGAATCCCTAGGTTTTATACCCAGTAACTCCCCCAACCCCCAACACACAGAGATCCATAAAGCATGTTATGGAGCAATTGTCAAGATTGTGCCTGAGGATTATGGCTTAGTGGTAGAGCACTTGCCTGCAGTGTGAGGCACTGGGTTTGATCCTCAGCACTATATTAAAAAAACACATAAAATAAAGGTATAGTATTCATCTATAACTAAAAATGCTTAAAAAAAAAAAAAAAAAAAGGATTGTGCCTGAACAACCATCTTTCAAGAGATTGGGGGTATATGACTTATAGATCCAGCAGCCATCTCATTGAAACTGGGAATAGCATAGAAATATGATTATCCATGAAAGATCTGCAGAGGACTCTTGTCTTTGGATTCCATGAACTGCATGGGAGACCAGTAGAGTTGTTGAAATGCTACCAATCTTAGACTCAAGGGGACAGTGATGAGATGAAAAAGAAAGACTATTGGACTTCTGAGATTGCAGAACAGACTAGTATAATTATCTAGCTACAAACATTGTTGTCTTTTTATTAAAAGGGAAAAATGACACCAAGGGTGTCTCAGAGGTTGTCAAGGCTACCTACACTATCACAACAGCTCAGAAGGAACTATTCCTAGAATGCTGGGGCCAGTCTCCTCCTCTGATGGTTCCAGAGAAGTTAGGGCTACTCCTGTTCAATCTAGTAAGAGAGAGTTGAATAATCAAGCTAAATATTGAATATTGCTTTTAGCACAACTAATTAAAACTTAAGATATTCTAAGTAATTAAAAGAAAAAGGCAATTCAAGGCTGGGGCTAGGGCTCAGTGATAGATAATATGCTAGTCTGGCATGTGTGAGGCATTCATTGGTTCGATCCTCAGCACCACATAAAAATAAATAAAATAAAAGGTATTATGTCCATCTACAACTGAAAAAAAAAGATAAAAACAATTCAGATAATTTGGCAGCTAATAGTAATTCTATTTGGAGAATATTAGTAAATATATGACAAACAATGTATAAGATAAAATCACAAAGTTTTTTGAATCTTGACTGTAAAATGTAGAGAAAATGCAAAGTTGAAGTCAAGTCATTGATGTTTCAGTCTCTCAAATTCATTTGGAGACAGTTATGCATTAAATTCAAGTTAACCTTAATTTGAAGTCAAGCCATTGATGTTTCAGTTTCTCTCTCTTTTTTTTTTTCTTTCAGTTTCTCAAATTTATTTGGAGACCAGGTATTAAATTCAAGTTAACCTTAATATGTATAGAAAATTGCCACTAAAGAAGAGTTGCAAAATTCTAGAGATTTTGTGTGTGTGTGTGTGTGTATGTGTGTACACAATACCTTTTATTTATTTTTATGTGGTGCTGAGAATCAAACCCAGGGTCTCTTTCACACATGCAAGACAAGTGCTCACTGCTGAGCCACAACCCCAGCCTGGGAAATTTTTTAATGTATTGAATCAGCTATCAGTTTTTATAAATTTTTTTATAAAATATTGATAAAAGAACTATCAGGTTTGTTCACAGGTTTGCCTTTGTTTAAATTAATAAACTACAACTCAGAGTTCTCCTGTCTAGTCTATTTGAAAAGTAAATTGTTGGTGCTGGAATAGTTTTGTCAATAGACATTTCAGAACATGCAAAGCAGAAAGTCACCAGCTGATAAGATGTTTAGCAGTTGTCAAAACAAGACCAATCTTGTCTGTTCTCTTCTACTTCCACCCACCCCAACTGAGTTACTTTTAAGCAAATCTTAAGTTTATAAATTTCCCCATAAATGTGTTTTTATGGGTATCATTGTAAAAAAAGTATGTGTCTTTTATTTTTGGCAGGTCATTTTGACAATTAGATCATGGCAACCATAGAAGAAATTGCACATCAGATTATTGAACAACAGATGGGAGAGGTACGTCTAGGTAACAGTTCATTGACTGACTCATCAAACTTTTATTATTTATGCTAAATGTATATGCTAAGTTCTGAAGGTACAAAGATACCCCCAACTTTAAGATAGCTTTTCAGTCTTGTGAGAGTTAATTGAATAATCAGTCACAATATAGTATAAGAATATGATAGATACCTGTGTAGTGTGCTGGAGAGCACAAAAGAAAAACAACTAATGGAGAGTGTAGAGTTGGTGAGGACCTACCCAGGGGATGCATTTTGGAGGGTGCAAAATCTGAGGTCAGTCTTGATGGACCTGTAAGAATTATTCTATGTCAGTATAGACAGTATAGATGACTTTTTTTTTTTTTTTTTCCTTGTACTGGGAAAGAATTGAATCCAGGAATGCTCTGCCACTGAGCTGTATCTCCACCCTCTTTTATTTTTTAAATTTTGGGACAGAGTCTTACTAAGTTGCACAGGCTGGCCTTTAACTTGTAGTTCTCCTGCCTCACCCTCCTGAGTAGCTGGGATTACAGGCATGTACCACCACACCTGGCTACAAATTTATTTTTAAATGGTTTTATCCTATTCTTTAGCAAAAGGTACCTATTAAATGATGTATTTTGTGGCGGTTATTTTGGCTCATTATTCCCACAGTCAAATATGGGTTTGTTTTTTTTAATTCTAATTTGTTATATATGACAGCAGAATGCAATTCAGTTTATATTACACAAATAGAGCACAATTTTTCATGTCTCTGGTTGTATACAAGGTAGAGTCACAACATTCATGTTTTCATACATGTACTTTGGGTAATGATGTCCACCTCATTACCCTATCTTTTCTACCCCCATGTCCCCTCCTCCTTTTTTCCCCTTTACCCTATCTAAAGTTTTGTTGTTGTTTTTGTTGTTGTTGTTTTGCATGTATGTGGTGCTGGGGATTGCCTTGTGCATACGAGGCAAGCACTCTACCAACTGAGCTATATCCCCAGCCCTCTAATGTTGTTTTTTAAGTAACAAGAATAATATTAGCATTTCAGACCTCAGAAACATGCTTCAGAAAGCAGTCTATAACTTACTCTTACCCCCGCCCTGACCCCTTCACTACTCATGTCCTCCCTTTAGGAGGGAAATCAACCTGCTAACCCGAGGTACCCAAGAAAACCCAGTCTCAGTCTAAGCCTATAAGATGAGTCAGGGTAATTGATTTTGTCCCCAATTAACATAAAATCCAAAAATAACCAAGTTATAGCCAACTGTGATAACACTTATCTTTAATAATACCTAGTTTAAGGTTTTAATATTTAAGGGTAGATTGTGTTAGAAAGATAAAGTAAATATATCCATAATTCCACAAAAATTACACCATAACCATATTTCAGTACGGTATAATACTGGTGGCATTGGTAAGATTCAATGTCCTTATATAAATTTTTTAATATTGATAATGAAATTGATTAAAAATTAAGTTGAAGCCTCCTTAGGATATCCTACCTGTAAAAAATGACTGGTCTGAGGAGATATTAAATCTAATCAGTTGATTTTTATAAATTGATCAACGCAAGTTCATTACAAGGTACAAATAATAATTGACTAGTACAAAAATATAAAAATGTTTATAATGACATAAGACAAATTAGTTTCTTTTTATTTCTCCCGACCCCACACTGGCTTCTCCATATTATAGATGTATTTTTGTTAATACTAGTGCTATATCTGTTCTACGAATGCTGCAACGTATGCAGATACCCTGACAGATAATGATTGTTTTGCTATAAGGGATCCATGTTCAGAAATCGGAGAATGGCCTGTGGTAGGATATGTTTTTAGGTTTTATTCAGAGTACATGGCTCATTACTCCCATGGGTTTTGTAACACTTTAGGCTTCATGTAAGCCTCAGAAAACAAAGTCTCATTCTGTGACTTTCTTCTACCCTCCTTTTGCCTACTCTTTTTTTTGTTTTTTTTATTCCCCAATGCAAACCGTAGAAATAAATCTGTTTTGCAACTGGCATAAAAAAAAAGTTTCCTGATAAGACCCTAATTACAGAAGGGGTCCTGCACCATACCCCCAAGAAAAGAATGCTCTTTTGAAAACCCAAAAACCTTGCTGGGTTTCCCCACTCATTCTGTTAGTATTAGATCATACCCTTTTTGTCCAATCATATTTTGACATGATTATGTCATGCTTGTACAATGAAGTCTCTATAAAACTCCAAAAGATAGAACTGGGGTTGTGGCTCAGTGGTAGAACACTCGTCTGGCATATGTGAGACACTGGTCCATCCTCAGCACCACATAAAAATAAACAAATAAAATTAAGGTATTGTATCCATCTACAACTAAAAAAAAAAAAAAGTTGTTGGTTTTTTGTTGTTGTTGGTTTTTTTTTTAATAAAGAAAAGCTTAACATATAGAGCCTCACAGAATGGCAAACAAAAACTCAACTTCACATGCCAGAAGAATGTTTCATCCCAGCTCTATGGGGACAAAAGCTCCTTCATTCAGGACCTTTCTATACTTCACCTTTTGTATCTCTTCGTCTGGCTTCTTATTCCTGTCCTCTAAAACATTCTTTATGATAAACTGATAAACATGTTTCCCTGAGTTTTACAAGCTGTTGTACAAATTAATCAAACCTAAAGAGGTCATAAAAACCCAAACTTAAACTCCCTGCCAGAAATTACAGAGGATGCCCAGACATGAGGTTTTCAAGTTCAAGGCCAACCTGGATAACTTGGTGAGAAATAAAACTTTTGTCTCAAAAAAAGAGGTTTCTTTTGGAGCGGGGTGGGGTGGAGTGGGGTGGAGAGCTTGGGTTGTAACTCATTGATAGAGCACTTGCCTAGCATGAGGCCTTGGAATCAATGCCCAGTACTAGAGGGGGAAGAGTACCTAGACTTCTAACTAGATCTAAAATGGGAATAGTGTTAGATGAAGACTGAAGCCTCAACCTGTGGGATCTAACCCTATTTCAGGGTAGATTGTGTTAGAATTAAAATAAATTAGAAGACCCCCAGTTGATGTCTACTGCAAAACTGCCTACTTGCTAGTGGGGAAAAATCCTCTCATCTTTTCAGGTCACAAGTCTTCTATGTTGATAGTGATATAAGAATTTTTCAAAAATCCCTCAAATACTGCTTTTCCTAGACACACAGTACCATCATCCAGATGTTCTCAAAGTATCATCTAGGGACCTTTTCACAAAGGCAGCAGGGTCAAAACTGTTCTCATAATAGTACTAAAATATTATTTATCTTATCTTTATTGTTCTTTCACAAATATACAGTAGAAGTTTTTAGAAGCTACATGATGTGATATTATCCTGTGATGAAATGTGTCAACATTTGTAAGATGTATATTATTCACTGAACCAGTGTTTTGCAAGTGAACAATGCAATGCATAATGTTACAAAATTGTGCATGCATAAAGGATCCATTCAAATTGTAGAATAGACCAGTGGATTTTACGATATTACAGTGAACCTCTGAGAAGTCAGCCCTTGTCAAGTTTTGGTGTTATATCAAAGAACAGGTTCCAGGCTGGAGTTGTAGCTAAATGGTAGAGTCCTTGCCTCTATGAGACACTGGGTTTGATCCTCAGCATCACATAAAAATAAATAAAAAATAGTTTAAAAAAAAAAAAAAAAAAAACCTTTAAACAAACAGAAAAACAGTTTCCACAGTTTGAGAAGGCTATAAAAATACCATGCTCCACTTATATACTGAATGTAAGACTGTGCTTGCTTTATATATTTAATCCAAACAACATATTTCAACAGACTGAATGAAGAGGCAGACATGAAATTCCAAGTTCTACTAACCAGACATAAAGAATTTGCAAAAAATGAAAAATAGTGCTATTCTCTCTATTAAATACTGTTTGGAAGATAAACTTATTTTTCATAAAAATCTGAGCTGTTGCCCAGATCTCACCTTATCTTGCTTTGTTTTTCTTCATAGTAATACCTACAATATTATTATTTTTTTATATCTTTTTACACTGAAGTAAAAGCTTTATGAGGGCAGAGATTTTTGTTTCATTCCCTGCTATATCCCCCCAGAATTCAGAACAACAAATGTATGGTTGTCTAAATTAAGGTGGGAAATAAGAGGGAAAAAGGAATCAATATAAGGTCAAATAATTTACTGTCATACCAAAACAATAAGGTCAAATGATTTACTATCATACCTTTATCTGTTTGTTTCCATAGGGTAAAATGGAAGTAGAATTGCTAGTTTAAAAGGTTTATAGTGGTAGCTTTTCTAGCTTTGGGAATATACGAAAATTGTATCACTAAGAAAAACAAAATATTATGCTGAATCGATTATTAATTTAACCTGATTGTGTTAGATTGTTACAGAGCAGCAAACTGGGCAAAAAATCCAGATTGTGACAGCACTTGATCATAATACACAAGGCAAGCAGTTCATTCTGACAAATCACGATGGTTCTACTCCAAGCAAGGTCATTCTGGCCAGACAAGATTCCACTCCAGGAAAAGTTTTCCTCACAACTCCAGATGCAGCTGGTGTTAACCAGTTATTTTTTACAACTCCTGATCTGTCTGCACCACATCTCCAGGTAAATAACTGTAGAAGTATCTCCCTTTTACACTTATAAAAAGTTAAAAAGCTTAAATTAAAGTCCTGCCATAAAGACTTCAAATATATGCATATTATGTAGAGTATAATATTGTGTAAATTGTGTTCAGAGTGTCTGTGGTGACTGCTTTTTCCTGTGGGCCATTGTACTTTCACTCATAACCCTCCCTTACACCCAGATATTTTGGGCAGTTCTTAGTTATATCCGGAAGATCCATTCTAGCTAGTTTGGCTAGGGAGCAATTTAATAATGAATACAATTCTAGGCCAGGTTTCTAAGAATAACTATTAGAGCATGCTACAAAATTTGGTTCTGAGAGTCCCCTCCAACTTCTGAGGTTCAAAGTAGACACTGTCAAATTCAGGAACAACTTTTATACCTGTGGTGTCTGGAACCAGGCTTCTGTGGTACTCATAGCAAGCTGCCAGATCAAGAACTAGGAAGTGTTGCTGCTGGTTTCAGCATTGTTCCTACTTTCTTGTCAACCACACCTTCATTGACATAACAAGCAATCCATGAATTGTCTGCTTTTACTCTCACACCTTTATCTGTTTGTTTCTATAGAGGATAGAATATCACAGAAGTAGAATTGATAGTTTAAAAGGTTTATAGTGGTGGCTTTAACTTTGACGGTTTCTTACTTGTTTTTGATGGCCTTGACAGTTTTGAGGTGGGTATAGTTTTGTGTGGAAAAGATTATGGGAGTTAAATGCCAGTTCATCATTTATCAAAAGTACTTACTGCTGGGAGCGGTGGCACATGCCTATAATCCCAGCAGCTCAGGAGGCTGAGGCAGGAGGATCTTGAGTTCAAAACCAGACTTGGCAACTCATTGAGGCCCTAAGCAACTCAGTGAGACCCTGTCTCTAAATAAAACGTAAAAAAGGGCTGGGGATATGGCTCAATGGGTAAGCACACTGAGTTCAATCCCCAGTACCAAAAAAAAAAAAGTATTTGTTCTCAATGTAATATGGATGGTGAGGTAAATTTGATCACCTGGCTGAAGTGCTGTTATGTCATGTTTCTTCGTTGTAAAGTTACTGCTTTTTTAAAAAAAAAAAAATTGGGCTTGGGGATGTGGCTCAAGCGGTAGGGCGCTGGCCTGGCATGCGTGCGGACAGGGTTCGATCCTCAGCACCACATACAAACAAAGATGTTGTGTCTGCCGAAAACTAAAAAAAATAAATATTAAAAATTTTTAAAAATCTCTATTTTTAAAATAAAGATCATATTGGAACTTGCCTACTTTATGGATTCTCTCTGAGGAAAATAAAAGAGAAACAGATATAGGTTACAGTTCCCCTAGACTGAGAAGATTTGATTCAAATATGAGCAGTCCTTTTGACTTCTTTGTATTAAAATAATAGCCTCTAAAAATAAGCACCATTTGTGATCAGTATGCCATTAAGGAAGTGTGATACTTGTCATAGGTCCTTTCAGAGGACATCTACTATCAGAAATTTTTGTTCACTTGTTATTACTTTTTTCTTTTTCTTTGATGGGGTCTCACTGTGTTGCTTAAGCGGGCCTCCAGCTCCTGATCCTTCTGTCTCAGCCTTCTTAGTAGCTGGCATCACAAGCATACACCACCATGCTTGGTGTTGAATTTTTTAAAGTACTTATTAAAGACTGATTTTTGAGGTGATATAGAAAGAAATAATACCTTATATTACATAGTAAGGGACAGTCATTTTAAGAATCATTTAAAGTTTAAAGTTTACCATTTAAAGTTTTTTTATCCTCCATTTAAAGTTGTCAAAATGAAAATTATTCATGAAGACATTCACACTCCTAAATGGAGAGAAAAAGGTGGGGATTACAGGGGTTTTCAAGTAGCAAGAGAAGGTGTTTAAATGCTATATCATTGTTTTTGGACCACATTGATGATTTGTTAGTATTTCAAAACTTTGGAAAAAAAAATATGAAAGTTGGAAGATAACCCTAAAACAGAAGAAACTATTGTTCCTTTGCTAGCTTCACATTCCTCCTGTTTAGTGATGAGCTCTTTATATAATTTAAAAGGCCTGGTAATTTGCCCAAGACCATCCCACTGAATTTCACTTCTAGTCAGTTAGGAGCTACTGTTCATCAGACCAGAGCCCATGATCTCAACCTGCACATGTCCCCAGTCATACCTCATTAGTACAAAGTCTGAATTTTGTATGTTGATCATATTTTCAAAGTTATGATTAATTATGTCATCAAAATTTATTTATAATAACCCATTTCCCCTCAAAAAGTTCAGGACTTTTTATGCTCTTAAAAGTTTTTGTCAGGCCATTCCATATGGAAAGTTTCTAAGCTCTTTTTTTTTTTTTTTTAAGAGAGAGGGAGAGAGAGAATTTTAACATTTATTTTTTAGTATTTGGCGGACACAACATCTTTGTATGTGGTGCTGAGGATCGAACCCGGGCCGCACGCATGCCAGGCGAGCGCGCTATCGCTTGAGCCATATCCCCAGCCCAGTTTCTAAGCTCTTCAAAGACATGTCATGGGGGCTGGAATTTTGGCTTAGTGGTAGAGAGCTTGCCTAGCATGTGTGAGGCACTGGGTTTGATTCTCAGCACCACATACAAATAAAATAAAATAAAGGTCCATTGACAACTAAAAAATATTAAAACAAAACAAACAAAAAAGACGTGTCATGATAGGATTAGTAACTGCTGCAATGATTTTTTTGTTTTGTTTTGGTTTTCTGTTGTGTTGTTCTTCTTAGTTATACATGACAGTAGAATGTATTTTGACATACTGTATGTACATATATATACATGGAGTATAACTTCCCATTCTTGTGGTTGTACAGAATATGGAGTCACCCTGGTCGTATATTCATTTATGAACATAGGAAAGTTATGTCCAGTTTCATTCTACTGTCCTTACTCTTCTCACTCGCCCCTGCTTCCCTTCTTTTTCCTTTGTCTAATCCAAAGAACTTATGTCCCTCCCCCACCCCCATTGTGTGTTAGCATCTGCATATCAGAGAGAACATTCAGCCTTTGGTTTTTTGGGATTGGCTTATTTCGCTTAGCATGATAGTCTCCAGTTCCATCCATTTGCCAGCAAATGCCAGAATTCCATTCTTCTTTATAACTGAGTAATATTATATTGTGTATATTTACCACTTTTTTTTTTTTTAATCCATTTATATGTTGAAGAGCACCTAGGTTAGTTCCATAGCTTAGCTGTCATGGATTGAGCTGCTATAAACATTTATGTCTGCCATAATAATTTGACATTCTATATGAATAATATTAGTACCCCATCTCTCACCCTGCACAAAACTCAGCTCAAAGTGGACCGAGGACCTAGGCATTAGTCCAGAGACCCTGCACCTACTAGAAGAAGTGGTAGGCCCAAATCTCCATCATGATGGCTTAGGAACCAAATTCCTCAATAAGACTCCTAAAGCACAAGAAGTAAAATCAAGAATCAATAAATGGGATTGTATCAAACTAAAAAGCTTCTTCACAGCAAAGGGAAATAATCAAGAACATGAAGAGAGAGCCTGAAGAATGGGAAAAAAATCTTATGCACTTGCACCTCAGAGCATTACTCTCCAGGATATATAAAGAACTCAAAAAACTTAACACCAAAAAGCAAACAACCCAATCAATAAGTGGGCAAGGCTGGGGCTGGGAATGTGGCTCAGAGGTAGAGTGCCCGCCTAGCACGGGTGGGACCTGGGTTCCGTTCTCAGCACCACATAAAAATAAAGGCATTGTGTTGTGTCCATCTATACCCCTCCCTCCCTCCCTCCCTCCCTCTCTCTCCCCCACTTTATTTTTTATTTTTTTTTAGAGAGGGAATTTTTTTTTTTTAATATTTATTTTTTTAGTTTTCGGCGGACACAATATCTTTGTTTGTATGTGGTGTTGAGGATTGAACCCAGGCCGCACACATGCCAGGCGAGCGTGCTACCGCTTGAGCCACATCCCCAGCCCTCTCCCCCATTTTAAAAAGTTTTTTTAGGGGCTGGGATTGTGGCTCAGTGGTAGAATGTTCGCCTAACATGTGTGAGGCCCTGGGTTTGATCCTCAGCACCACATTAAAAGTAAACAAATAAAATAAAGATATTGTGTCCAACGACAACTAAAAAAATAATTTAAAAAAAATGTTTTAAAGATAATTAAAAATAAAATAAAAAAATAAATGGGCAAAGGAACTGAACGGACACTTCACAGAAGAAGAAATACAGATGGTCAAGAAATATATGAAAAAATATTCAACGTCATTAGCAATTAGAGAAATGAAAATTAAAACCACACTGAGAATTTGTCTCCAGTCAAAATCACAGTTATTGGGCTGGGGATATTGCTCAGTTGGTAGAGTGCTTGCCTCACATGCACAAGGCCATGGGTTCAATCCCCAGTACCACCAAAAAAAAAAAAAAAAAAATCACAGTTATCAAGAATACAAGTCACAATAAATGTTGGTGTGGATGTGGGGAAAAAGTGCACTCATACCTTACTGCTGGGACTGCAAATTTATAAAACTACTCTGTAAAGCAGTATAGAGAGTCCTCAGAAAACCTGGAACGGAACCATCATTTGACCTAGTTATCCCACTCCTCAGCATATGCCGAAAGGACTAAAATCAGCATACTACAGTGACACAGCCATGTCAATATTCATAGCAGCTCAGTTCACAATAGCTAAGTTATAGAACCAACCTAGGTGCCCTTCAATAGAAGAACTATGTCGTATGTACACACAACAGAATATTACTCAGTCATACAGAATGAAATTATGGCATTTGCCATTGAATGGATGGAACTGGAGGCTATCATGTTAAAGTGAAATAAACCAGTCCCAAAAAACCAAAGGTCAGTGTTAACTCACAATGGGGAAGGATCACATTGGGAGGGTGTGTGGAGGGAGAAGTGGAGGTTCACAGGATTGGGACTAGATAGAGGAATGCGGGGAAGGGTGTGGAGATGGGGATGGGAAAGATAGTGGAATGAATTGGATGTAACTTTTCTATGTTCATGTATGAATATATGATCAGTGTAATTCTACATCCTGTACAACCACAGAATGGAAAGTTGTCCTCGACATATGTAAGATATATCAAAGTACATTCAAGCCAAGTGCAGTGGCACACACCTGTAATCTCAGTGGATCAGGAGACTGAGACAGGAGAATCACTAGTTCAAAGCCAGCCTCCGCAGAAGCAAAGTGCTAAGCAACTCAGTGAGACCCTGTCTCTAAATAAAATACATAATAGGGCTGGGAATGTGGTTCAGTTCAGTGCCCTTGAGTTCAATCCCAAATACCCAAACCAAAAAAAAAAAAAAAAAAAATCTATTGTCATGTATAACTAAAAAGAACAAATAAAAATAACTTTGAAATAGTATGTTTATGGTTAAAATGCATTTAGAAAAAAAATTTATGTAGCTGGGTATAGAGGTATATACCTGGAATCCCTGGTACTCAGGAGTTTGAGACAGAAGGGTCTCAAGTTCAAGGTTAGCCTGGGCAACATAGTAAAACCCTTGTCTCAAAACAAGAAAACCAACATCAAAAAGATATTAATGTAATTGTGTGTTGAATTTGATTTTTTAATGGAGTTGTTATGGAACAAATTGAAAAGATATTCTTGCTGTCCTTGTTTTTTATAATAGTTGAAATTTTCACCTATATATAAGACGAGTTTAATTGATTTGAGTTCACAGTTTAAGATTAACTTAAGATAAAGTAAAAAGACTGAATATTCTTTAATTTTTTTAACAGAATGAGATTGTTACCGAGTAATAACATTTTTCTTTTCTCTCTTTTTTTAAGCTCTTAACAGATAATTCTTCCCCAGACCAGGGACCAAATAAGGTTTTTGATCTTTGTGTAGTATGTGGAGACAAAGCTTCAGGTAACATTAAAAATTACCTATATGTATTGTTTTGTTAAAATACATACTATCTTTCTTCTAAAAATAAAAACAAAAATAGTTCTGGGTATGTGGCCCAGTGTTACAGTGCTTGCCTAGCATGTGTGAGGCCCTGAATTCATCCCCAGCACTGCAAAAAAGAAAAAGGAATGTGTCATTTTTATAGTGACATATGACTTTATGTGATTATTCCCCCACTATTGGTGATTGAACCTAGGGTTTCCCACATACCAGACGAACACTCTACCACTGAGTTACATCCTTAGTCCTTTTTAAATTTTATTTTGAGACAGAGTCTCAAAGAGTTGCCAAGGCTGGCTTTAAACTTGTGATCCTCCTCTCTCAGCCTCTCGGGTAGCTGGTATTATAGGTATGCACCACTGCACCCTGCTCAAAATGTAGCTAATTTTTCCCCAGAGCTTTTCTTTCACCTTCTACTTCAGTGCAGTTTGATTTGTAGTGATATAAAATGATTATTTCAATGAATCATGGAAAGTTTCACTTTAAGTGTACACGTAGACATTTTTGAAAGTTAAAATTGGAGGATTTGTCAAAGGAATCACTTTATTATTTTTTTCAGTGTATTATTTTAAAATAAGATGTGATTTTTAGTAATATATTACGTCAGTTGTCAACTTCTGGGAATACAAAGTAATTTGAATTATTGAAGTGAAAAAAGCTTTGGGGAATCTTTGGATTCGGTGTTCTGTGTAACTGAGAAGATTGTTCTCAAAGCTTATTACTGGTACTTGGAGTTAAGTCACTTTCATTCTGATCATTATTATTTCATGCCAGAAATATACTCATATCTGCTCATACATATTCACAGATGCCAGTGGTATACAATTCAAGAGTTTTAAGTTTGTTACTCTTTTCTAAAACTTCTTTATGAAAATCTCCATTAGAACTTTTCCCAGTTTGTTAGTAAGTATGCAAAAGAAATGATCACGGGATAATCAAAATGTAACAGATTTCTTCAGAAATTTCAAAAGTGAAACTTATGAGTAGAGATGATTATATTTCAAATACTAGACTACATTTCATCTTCCTTTCTGGTGTATATTGTATTCAGATTAAAGTATATAATAAAATAGTTAATAAGTGATCTTATAAATGAAAACTTTCGGGTTGGGGATGTGGCTCAGCGGTAGAGCACTTGCCTAGCATGTTCAGGCCCTGGGTTCAATCCTCAGCACCACATAAAAAATAATAAAGGTATTTTGTCCAACTACAACTAAAAAATAAATATTAAAAAAAAAAAAAGAAACAAAAACTTTCTATGTTAGAAAAGGGGATTATGTTTTGAGTCACCCCCCCCCC